TGCATGGCTGAAACCTGGAAGTGGAAGCAACCAAATTAGCGTGCAGAGATCTCCCCAACCGCAGGGCGACCGCTTCCAACGCCGGCGCCAGAGCTTCCCACTCCGGACAACATTTCTGATTACTCCAAGTGCATTTTAAGTTGCCAAACCACAGGAGAAAAGGCTGCCTCAGTCTTCCTTAACTCAGATGAAAGATGAGAACATCAAGATTTAGAAGGAAAGAGAACCTCACAGCCAACCAGAAAAGTCATCGCCTGGGCGCAGAGTACAGGTGACTGTAAGAGATGCATACAGACCCGGGAAGAGCTGGAGAGAGAAAAAACAAACAAACACACACACCCTCAAATTTCTTCGGCCTCTTTTCTTAAGTCATTTAATTTTCAGCAGCTTGACTCCATACTTTAAGCCTTTCAGTGCCATGTTTTCACTTTTTCAATTAAAAATATTACTACCATAAGACAAAATTGCTTCTGATTTATTCAGGAACATAAATTAAATGTTCTCCAAGTGCACCCCAAGAACTATGAAACTTCTTGTACCTGTCAGGAAAACAACTTGACGTACACCAGTCATAAAAACAACTGTGCTATCACAGACACAGATGTAGAATCTGCTCTTCCACCTCACCTAAGGAATACCATCTTAGTGAGTCATCTGCAACGTCGCCGCGCAAGGCAGCATGGAGAAGAAAAATCAAATTGCTCTTCTGCAAAAGTAAGTAACAACATGAGCAAGAAAAACCATTAAAATGAAAACAAGGGCTTAAGAACATGTTTTGATATCGCTAGGAATCACAATCCACATCTAACAGCATAAACGTATCCTTTTCTTTAAGGACTGAATCTGTTTCCTGATCAGTTTTAAAACTGTCCACAGTTCTTGGCCAAATTAAGTTGGATCTTCCAACTTGCGCTTTTTTTTTTTTTAAAATATTTCTTTTCAAATCAAGATGCAAGCGAAGCCCATTCAGAAAGGGGCCTTATGCTTGAAAACTTGTTTTTCTTATCTTTTACAGCTGACCCCAGAAAGGAGGGGGGGAGGGAATAAAAAGCAAAATGAAAGACAAAACAACTTAAACACCACATATAAAGTTTGCCTTCCCAATCGAGTCAGACATAATTCTGTGGGAATATTTTTATCTTTAAAGTCTCTACCTTATTTGCAAACTGTTATGGAAAGATAACCCAATGTATTTCTACAACAGCAACATAAGAAAATAACAGTATAGTTCCTGGAATGCTTTAATCCTTAGAGTGCGGGTACATTTGTACTTAATCAGGTAAAGAAAACATCTGCCACGATTACACCCTCATAAGAGTGTATTCCAGACCACATTCACCTCAAGTAGGATTGCAATATTTACAGTCAACAACAATTAGAAAAATCTGGGAAACGCAGCCAGTTGCTTCGGTTCTGATACTCTGCAATGGGAAAAGAGCAGAGATTAAAATAAATCAAAACTTTTGATCTGCAATGACAGAAAAGTAGCCAGTAATGCAGTTTCATTGACCTGCTTATAAAGCTGTAGTACAATGTCAGAAACAAAACTTCAAGAGGCAAGAGGGAAATATTTTTCCTTTTGAAAGGAGTCGTCCTTCCAAATTCATGATTTTGCTCCAAACAGACTCACCCTAAGTGCCAGCATACTCCGGAAAGGCCTTGCCAATACTGCTACATTAGTAAACCTTAGCACTGAAGCAGCAAAACAATCCTTCCAAGTCAAAGAGAGCAATAGCCACTTTGCTGATATATCCTTTATCTGCACCACTATTTTGGCCTT